AGATCGGCTCTCGAAGGTTTTAGATGCTCTCGCAAGTCTCCTAGTCTATCGCCCAACGAAAGAAGTGATTTCTGTCGGTCTGCAGACCGGGTCTAGTAGTAATTTATGCTACACTCTTACTCTCGCTTCCAATGAGTCAGTAACTCGGACGACGGTTGCCCACTGTCGCAGAATCATGAAACATCTCAAGCAGCTGGGGCTAGAATTTTATGAGCTGCGGAAGAATACTTGCGATCAAACTACTCTTAAGGACATGTCGGTGATGGAATGAGGTGCGTATTTCATGGAACTCATAACCATCCAAGTCGACTACCCGTCATCGTCTTCGTGGCGTAGTTGACCGCCGAAAGTCAGTAGTAAAACGTTTCCAGGCCCAGCTAATCATAGAGTGTGTTCAGATGAACTTTTTCCCCAAGCCAGTTGTGTAACTTGGATCGGAGCATTAAGGAGAACCTGGGGTGCCCAACCTTGAAGTTTAACAAGGATGCGGCCCACAAAGTTCTACTTCAACGAACCGAAGATATGTTTCTAGGAAGTCTGGAGAGCTGCAGAACGATTGTCTGGTATTACCTGGCCAGGGGCCATGCGGAAGCACTTTGCCTTTTGCCTTGCACAATTATCTTTGACCCTTTGTGGACTGTGTCGAACCGACATTCCACAGCGGAATCCTGCAGCCAAAATGACTCGGTCAAAGGACAGTTTGAAAGAACAACGAGTTGAAATGTGACCGCCTTTACAAACTGCACTGGAGAAAAGAATGCATTTAGTGCATATTGTCTACTCTCACTCATCTATCAAAGCTGGGCTATACTTGAGATAGCCTCGAATTTCCACTTCCACTTTTTGCCCGGCATCCCTGATGAAGCAAGCGGTGTGGAAGGTTTGTACTGTTCTTCATTCGCCTTGTCACTCAAAGTGGACGTTGAGTAACCTCTTTGCAGCCAACTTATATCCTCAGGTTTTTAGATATGCACAATGTGGCGTAGAGATGTTGACATATTTGGGGTCATCTTCAATGAATAGCCAGCTAAAGGGGGAACTTTACATGATATCTAACCTTGAGTTAGATGGAGTATGTATGTTTGAAACAAACCGAAATCTGCGCTCAATGCAACATTATACCTATCGTCCATCTCATACGATTATCTACTATCCTATCGAAGGGTGGAACTCAATTGAATCAATTACAATGAGCAGAGAATAGAACATTACTAGTATGAATCACTTGCTCCCACACAGTAACGTTTATTCAAGAAATATGATGGTGGTGGAAAAGAACTTGAACCTAGCGATAAAATCTCAAGAGAATTTGACTAAACAGAAACTTTTCAGCGAGACTTCGTAGAGAGGACGGATGAACTGTGATTGAAGCTGAGCTACGAGCGAGCTGACTGCAATTCTCTGTGACCTTCGGATGTTCCCTCCCCAGGTTCGGGAACACTTCGTCGAGGGTGGATTGAATCATTATTTACTATTGGTGAGACCGTGGGCTCCACAACATCTTTCCAACTGTGGGATGATTGCTGAGGAAGAAAAGTACAGCAGGCCCCCTCCGGTCCGCATTCGAAGTCGACAACGCACTCCCTTTGGTGTTCGATTCAAGTAAGGATGCCCGTGTCTGCGCTGGTGGAGGGCGGCTCGGTCTGGATTTAGGAAAGTCGTGGATGATCCAGGCTGATACCGCTGTCACACAGCAGTAAGACGGCTACTTGTCCTGTGTTTGGCTGCACCGGTGAGAGGAAAATAGTCTGTTGACAATAATGATGTGTTACCTCCCTCCCCCGCCCTGCTCGTTCGTGACGAACCTTTATTGACTGGTTGTGCTCAAACCCATCCGGCTCTGTTGACTGACAGAAAGAAGCCGTGTGTATACAAAATCTGGCCAACGCCCCTTCCCCTCGATACTAGTAGTTTTCACATACGCCAGGAAAACTACAATACGAATATTTGTTTGACTTCTAATTGCCGCTGCCTGCTCCCCAGACTCGGCCAGTCATCAGATGGCTACAGGAACATCATGGGAAGTTACTGCCAAAGCAAAACAAGATTCCGTTCTCAATCTCATTCCCGAGAAATGGCGGATCCCAACTCCAATCCCCTCGGCCAGTGAGTTGCGGGATGTGACCAGATATATTCGGAAGTTCCTTTCTCCTCGAGAAATTGAAATCACGGAATCCGATCTCGTCAGTCTGGCACAGCGCACCACCAATGGGCAATGGACTGCTGTGGAAGTGACAGAAGCGTTTTGCCACCGAGCAGCTCTTGCGCATCAATTTGTGTGTATCACTCAAATTTCAACTAGTACTCCACGGTTTTACTGACGAACCACGCCTCAGGTCAACTGCATCCATGAGATCTTCTTTGATGCGGCCCTCGAGGAAGCAAAGAGACTTGACGTGTACTTCACAGTACATAGGAAGCCACTTGGGCTGCTTCATGGCATCCCGATCAGTTTAAAAGATCAGTTCCATGTGACGGGGGTGGAAACCACCATGGGCTATGTTGGTTGGGTAGGCACTTTCCAGGGCCAGAAAGGCGATCCTCGACGACTGGTCTTTGAAAGCGAGCTGGTCAAGGAACTCCGTTCTGCGGGTGCTGTGCTTCACTGCAAGACTAGCGTCCCCGCAACTCTAATGTGTCCTCAGACGGCCAACAATATCATTGACTACACTTGGAACCCGAAGAATCGCCATCTATCTTCTGGGGGAAGCTCTGGGGGAGAAGGCGCCCTCATAATACTGAGGGGGTCTGCGGGCGGGTTTGGCACTGATATTGGCGGGAGTGTGCGGGTCCCAGCTGCCTTTAACGGTCTTTATGGTATCAGGCCGTCAGCTGGCAGAATTCCCTACGAAGGCGCGGCTAATTCGATGGATGGCCAAAACTCAATCACCTCTGTTGTCGGTCCTCTCGCCACTACCCCTGGTGGGTTGAAGCTCTTGTTTAAGTCTGTACTCAGTCAAAAGCCGTGGCTTCATGATCCATTGGCGATTGAGTTGCCATGGCGGGATGAGGCAGAGCAGGAAGTATTGGATCTCATTAAGAGTTCTGCTGCGGGGAAAGGCCAGCTTTCGTTCGGCATCATGAGCTCAGATGACTATATTCAGCCGGTACCCCCTGTTTCTAGAGCTTTGCGAATGATGACTGCTACCCTACTAAAACTTGGACATAATGCAAGCAAGCTGGCCATTATTTTGACCAATCCTTGTTTAGTCCAATTACCTCTAACTAACTTATCTTATCAGGTTATCGAGTGGAAACCACCGTCTCATCAAAAAGCCCTGGAATTAGCGGTATGTCTAAACGATCGCATGACACCGTGTTTTCGGACTTGACTTAACTCTGTCTTTTTTAATACAATGGCAGCTCGCCATTTATACTCTCGACGGCGGTGCCGATGCACATTATCAATTTAACTTATCAGGTGAACCCCCCATGCCCGAACTCGATATCTTTTTAAAGGAATCCCCAGGCCCGCAAATGAACGCCCAGCAAATCGCCGCGATCAACGTCGCCAAGCGGGAATATCAGAAGGAGTACCTGGAATACTGGAATAGTACTTCGGAGTTGACGGGAACGGGCCGGCCTGTTGATGGCTTTTTCTGCCCTGTTGCCCCATTCCCCGCAGCACAAAGGGGTAAAGCCAATTATGCTGGCTATACCGTCTTCGTGAATTTGCTGGATTACGGCTCGATCGTTATCCCGGTAACTATTGCTGATAAAACGGTGGATACCGTCGACGCTGGCTATGATCCATTGAATGATATGGATAAGGCGATTCATGATGAATGTAAGTTTTGTTGTTTAAACCATCATTATTATATTTTCTCCCCCAAAGTATCTTCGGCTCCGCCCGCCCAGAGTTTAAATTATATGCGCTGCACACACAGATGACGCGGATATTTACGATGGCGCTCACGTCGGTCTGCAACTTGTTGGGAGGCGATTCCAGGAAGAGAGATTGATTGCACTCGCAGAATATGCGGGACATGCAGTCAGAACAGCATAGATTCAGAAATTTGACACATGCGACCAGGAAAGTGGGATGCATATACGTGCTCATAGATTTTAGTTGACTACTAGTACATCCTAACAACTCAATTGCTATCCCCTTTGTTTTTTTTTTTTTTTTTTAACTTGCTCCTCCCTTCTTCTTCCCTCTCCCCTAGGCTCCTCGGTTCCCACTCTTTGTTGAGGAAATGTCATATCGATAACTGCGGAGTACATGGTTTAACAAGCACAACACCTACCAACTTTTTACCCACGTTATTAAAATAAGAATGAAGTTGGGGCTTCAGATTGGTGTTGTGAAAATCACAGCGGATTTTTATTACCACAATTGCGAATAGAATGGATAACTATTAGCAGCTCTGATCTTTTGTGCAATGGTCGGAGGATTCCTTTGGCTTAATAAAGCCAGGAATTTACCCCGAATCCTACACCTATATTATACATGAGTAAGATAATTCAACGTGGTAATTCTCCACTGAAAAATCAGCAGATAAGTGGACTCATTAGCGCAACGGCCCGTAAAACCACAGTAAAATGACAGTAGAACCATATTGTTATGACCGATACGAAGCCGAATCAACACATTAGGAAACCGACCACATGACAAGAAGTGCATTCAGTCTGCAGCAAGTCTCACAAACCAGAAACCATTCAATAACGAGAAGGCCTCTTCAGGAATCCCCTTTATTTTCACATTCCTACTTGTCTGACGAGCTAAGGAGGACCTGACGCTTATCAGAGATATTATGGACGTCAATTGGACTAGGATCCGACAGCATTGCCTTTTTATTCGTAAATGTTGGTGCAGATATGGTGTATTTTTGAGAAATGAGGAAATCGGATACGTCCGAATTGTCATCGACTAAGGCACCGCAGCCATCTTCATCATCCGTTTCATACGTTTCATCTTGGGGCTCCGCGGCACCAGCCATGGCGGCAACACGCTGTAAAACCCAGTGGAGTTCCAGAAGATCAACATCTGGGAGTGGAAGGTTGACAGGATCTTCAGTTTCCCAGACAATTGTATGGCCACTGGAAATAGCTGATCCAGTCGACAAATCCAATAGACCTACACGTCCACCAACACCATCCCGCCTGAAAGTTGTAGCAGGTGTCACGGAAGGCTCTGTGGACAATCGAAGTGAACGATAATTTTCAAAGTGAGGTAGCCATATAAACTTAACAGTACGGCTACTATTGTTCTCGTTGCTGCTGATATGTTTGAGAGCAAAGTAAATCTTTCCCTGATAGGCATGCGCGTTTGGAGAAAGACAAAAGAGATTTATTAGAGTTTCAGTAGTAGATCGAATTGCATCGAACCATCGTTCAACCTTTTCCTCAGTCCAGAAAATCTTTAAGATATTCCAGAAGTTGGAAGATTCCGATGTTTGTTCTGGGGTTTGTAAGTCCCGCAGAGCAAAAGGGAAAATATGAGCAACCTCAACAGGCTCGCCAGATCCGTGATGACGCATTTTCTCTGGTCTCGTTGTAGGCACTGTTCTCGGTCAGTACACCGGACTGCTTTCACATGTAACCTGCGGAAGGGATGAACTAACAAGATCACGTTGTCGGTTATCTCTCGTTTGGAACCCAATCCGGCGTTTCTTGCGATCACCATCGCCTGACGCTTGAGTAGAAGGAGACCCGGACAACATCTTGGGGCCTGGACACTAATTGGACTGGAGTACCGGGTTTGGAGGGAGTTGCGGCTGTTGAACTGGTTCCGCTGGCGTCACGCACGAGTTGTTTCCCTAATGATTATTGTTGATAGAACTATTATGCAAAGGACTGGTAGATGTCAAATGTATGGACTTACAGCGAGGAATTAATTGGCTTTCGTCTATCGAAGTACCAAAGCCCCTTAGATATACTGCTGGGTGATACGCTTCCCTAATCTCGGTCAAGATTATCCGTAGCTGGCTAAGATCGGCGACTTGGAGGCATGCCCAGAGTGATTGTGAGAATTGTGCACCTTGTACGATGGTATCGAGCTGACTGAGGATATCCTTGCGCTCAGCCTTCTCGGCCTCGTTGTCATCGGAGAACAAATCCATGGTTCTTGCAACGTACACGAGCAAGTTTGGATAGGCTGAACGAGACGCGGGGACGCAAGAAGGAGAAAGTGTTGGAGGCCGGTTGATAGAGAAACGAGCATATAGTTAAGTTAGTTGGCGCCGTAAGTTAGTAGCTAGGCAAAGAAAAGTAGTTAACTAGTTACTTGATATTCTTATTCTTTTTTTTGCCAATCTAGCTGAATCAACTGTTATCTTTTTTGGAAAAGAAAAAGAAGCAAAAACAGAAGAGCGGCTTCCCCCCTTTTTATAGAAGAAAATAAATAAACGGTTTTGGGATGAAGACTTCAATTGATCCGGCACTTGTTCTTGAACTTCCTATTGTGGACTATTTAGCGCAACAGCTCAATCCATCTCAGAACTCCTCCATACAATTTCCAATAACGGAACTTTTTAAACATGTATATAGTTCTGGTCCCATGCATGGACTTGTTAAAAGAATCATAAATCCGAGTCTATTGATCTGTTCAAATTCTAACAGGAAGGCCAGATATGATTGCGGATAACTAGAATATATATCCACATCTGCTCACTCACAAGAGTTTTCAAGTTTATCATCATTCAACACTATGACAGTGTAGATATCTTCATTTCATACTGTATCTACTGCTTTATCTTCACGTTCGAAATCAATCCACCACCACCAGCGCCCATATGGTCGTAGAGGGGGACGAATCACCCAATCCAAATCCCTCCAACAGCCCTGGAGAAGAGGATGCGATGCACGTGACATCATAGTGTGTTTTGTCGATAACCTTCCAAGGTTGGAATGTTTTCTCCGTCTCTCATTCTATTACAAAATGCGCATCTATTCATCCCAGCCAACAAAAGGAGCACCCCATTGATTGGCCCCTGAGACTTGCCCTTTGTGCGTCGCAGTGCGGAAGTATCGCACAACCAGCTATGAATGAGCCCGTTTCCGCTCCGACAGATACTCCCGAAGGGTCCCGCGTCGGCGAGGAAGGTAACAGCCAAGCAGGTTCCAAACTCCCCGCCCTTAAGGACAAGCAATGCCAGTACTGTCATCAACCCTTCACCTCTTCCTCCCTCGGCCGCCATCTTGACCAGTACCTGTTCAAAAAGAAGCCAGACGGCGTGCATGATGTCGAGGAGATCCGGCGTCTGCGCGGCAGCATCACCCGGCGAACGGCGCGTAACTCGACTGCGAAGCGGGAGATTCCCGATACTTCCTCTCCGTCGACATCTCCCAAGGTTTCTGGCACTGAACTCAAGTGCGAGAGTAGCCTGCGGCTGGATGGCAAGCCGGGCAAAACTGGATTCCAGGTGCTGCTCAATCAACCCACCTGGCACACCACGGGAGTCATCAATGATATCCCGAATACCTCGCAGGTCTCACAACCGCGAGTGTCTACTGTGGGTACTGACTATTCGGCACGATCGTCAAACAAAATTGGCCCGGAGACGACGAGAGCTTTGGAGCTGGCGCTGAGGGAAGTATTGGACAATGTGAGAGCCGCAGTGTGAGTTCTTTTTTTAGTCCTTCAACCCTTGCGCCTTGCTCTCTGCTACTACATTCATCCTTCGCTCTGGCGTATATGTAGCTATTTGTAGCTTACACTACATGCACAATTGGTTACATATTATTAAAGCACGAGGACCGAATCACGAATGAATCCATTTGACTTCGATCTTCAACGTCAGACGTTTCCGGCCCTTTGTCTCCATGTACTGCCCCCTCCTCCCAGCCTCTTTTCGACCCACCCATTTTCAACTCCAACGTCCTTTCCACTCGAGCCTCCAGGCATGGATAAGCAGGACATCATAAAACAGACGATGCTGGTCCAGATACAGCAGTGGAAATCTAATCAGTTGGCAGGGGTCATTTCACGCCAGGGAGCCGGATGCTCGAACGAAGGAAGCTCACGAAATTGGGAGACTGAAATGATCGAGAGATCCGCCCAACAACATGAAGAAATGGCCATCAGACACCTCGAACTTTCGTTCAATCATTGGATATCTTTGCCGCTGGGTGCTCGAAATGATATTTGGCGAATGGAGATTACCCGTGCATATGCGCGAGAAAAGGAGAGACGCGAGGAAATCGGAAACCAGCTGGCCCGGACGCAACAGGAGGTGAATAGCCTACAGGCGCAGATTGACAGGCTGGAAAACTGCCAGTGGCCCCGAGAATTCGCCATTTTTCCTCCAGAGATGTTACCCATTCCACGGTCGGTGTCAAGAGAGTTAGCCGAGAAGAGCAAAGTGAATAGCATTGATTCTTCACGATGGGACTATGACAATTTAGTCGCGAAGTGGAAACGGGTAGTTATGCATGATAAGAGCATGGGCAGGGCTGGCTCAGGGGCAGCCTCAAGCGTATTCCCGGATTTGAGTAACTCTCCTCGCAGCAGTAGCGCCAACACCAACGTCGGTCACCATAACAGAGGGTCAAACGGCGAAACCAGCCACTACTCCAAACACCACCATGGCACAAGAGCTCTCTCCCCGCAACGAAATATACCAACCTCTTGCGAAGCTTCCAACAGCCAACGCTTTGCTCCAACCAGCACACAGCATATTCCCTACCAAACGCGCGACCCAAACAGGGACTGACGAGCCATTCCGACCGCCCAAACGACTACGCACAAGTCACAACAATAGCTCGCAGCACCCCACACAACAAATGGGATGAAAGCGCAGACGCTGGTAACTGCAACATGATCCCACCACTACCACAACCATTCTCGATGGAATTTATCTCTCAACAGACCCACCCGCCCTCCTCTACATATCCAACAACCCCTTCAACAGAAACAGATACTACATCTCCAGCCCTAAAGTCTAAATACAGCCCCATTGAAACGATCAAGGAGAAATCCTATCATCCTTCTCTTCGCCATAATAGCAAAATTGAGTCCATCGACGCCGCTACTACGAAACCAATATCCCGAATAGGTGGTAGCCCAGAGGAACAGAAACAATTAAGTACTAATCATCACAGCAACAATACAAACCATTCTAGCGAGACACCGGGTAACAATAATTTGAATAATGATGCAGCGAATACTCGCAACGGCCATAGTAATGGGCTGGAGTTGTTCATGGTGGCCCGTTCACAGCAAAATCGGTAGTAGCAGCACAGCTAAGCTACCCCGAAAACCACTTCCTTCAATGTAGCATTATATTTTTAAAGCATATATTTACAGGCTATCATGATAGAAGTTTTTCGATCCATTAAGGTTTTTCCATCATTCTAGATATTGCTTTTTTTAAAAAAAAAAATTATTTTTTTTATTTTTTTCTTTTTTTGTCCTTTTTATTTTTAAGAAGTTTGCTTCTCTTGTGTTTGATTATTTCACCATCATGGATTTGTTCAAAGAGGACTTGAATCAAGCAAAGCAAAGGAGGAATGCAAGCGAGCATTTATTGATTGTTACATGGTCATTTATTTTTTGTTATATGTATTTCATTTTTCTATTACCCACGCTGAGTTACATGCAAGTTGCATTCATTTGTGGCTTCATTTTATATCTTGTTTCACATATTTTACTTGTATCATT